GATTTTGGCCTCCGATGGCCTATTTTTCAAGCTTAAGTGTGAAAAAGTACATTTTTGGACTTAGTTTTCAAACCGAGAGTCCCGTACTAGTTCCGTAAGTTTTCACAACTCACATTAGTCCCTCCCAAGGTGTTTGAGGTGTTCCTTGGCCTGTCTCGTGACTATTACACAATTTTGGCCTCCGATGGCCTATTTTCAAGCTTAAATGTGAAAAAGTACATTTTTGGACTTAGTTTTCAAACCGAGAGTCCCGTACTAGTTCCGTAAGTTTTTAGTTTCAAACTTAAGTATGGAAAAAGTGCATTTTTTGACTTAGTTTTCAAACCGGGAGCCCCGTGCCAGTTCCATAAGTTTTCACAACTTACATAGGTCCTTCCCGTGGTGTTTGTGATGTTCTCCAGGCTTTCTCGTAACTGTTACACGATTTTGGCCCCCGATGGCCTATTTTCAAGCTTAAGTGTGAAAAAAAGTTCATTTTTCGACTTAGTTTTTAAACTGGGAGTCCCGTGCTTGTTCCGTAAGTTTTCACAACTTACATTGCTCCCTTCCGAGGTGTTTGAGGTGTTCACCAAGCCTTCTTGTGACTGTTATAGGATTTTGGCCCCCTAATGGCCTATTTTTAACCTTAAGTGTGAAAAAAATGTATTTTTTTGACTTAGTTTTCAAACCGGGAGTCTCGTGCTAGTTCCATTAGTTTCGACAACTTACATTGGTCCTTCCAAGGTGTTTGAGTTGTTCCCGGGGCTTTGTTGCGACTCTTACAAGATTTTGGCCCCCAATGGCCTATTTTCAACCTTAAGTGTGAAAAAATACATTTTTTGACTTAGTTTTCAAACCAATAGTCTCATGCCAGTTCTGTAAGTTTCCACAACTTACAATGCTCCCTCCCAAGGTGTTCGAGGTGTTCCCCGAGCCTTCTCGTGACTGTTACACAGTTTGGGACCCCGATGGACTATTTTCAAGCTTAAGTGTGAGAAAAGTGCATTTTCCACTTAGTTTTCAAACTGGGAGTCCCGTGCTAGTTCTATAAGTTTCCATAACTTACATCGGTTCCTGTTGAGGTGTTCGCGGTGTTCCCTAGGCCTTCTCATGACTGTTAACTGATTTTGGCCCACTTAAGTTAAAAACAAATAGTGGTCTAAGATATTTTGTTTAAGCTATTTTGTACCATGCAACAAAATAGTTAGCCTAAACCTAAGCCTAAGACCTTGAGCTGTAACTTGAGCTGAGGCTGCAACTATAGCTTAAGTTGCGCCTTGAATTTGTTGAACTGTGTGTTAATCCTCTTCATTTTGCTTTGCTTTTCATTTTCATAGGAATAGGTCATATCAAACCTCAACACAATAGTTTCTGTACCAATATGTGTGCCTTTCTTTTCAGTCATACAACATGATAAGAGAGGTTTGAAACATAGGGACATGAGCATTTTGAGATAAAGGAACCAAACTCTGTCAACTTTAATAGCGTAGTCATAAGTTAAGTCCTTGTCCCAATGTTTATGTCCCCTTTTTCACACCTCTCTCTTAACTATACAACATGATAAGAGAGGTTTAGAGATATAAGAAGAACGGCAATTCCTTCCAGTATGCGCCCTACATACACACGCAGTTCAGGAATTAGTCCTTTTCTCTCTTTAAACAAGTCTCACAACTATGGAATCACTCTTTTGTCACAATGGGAGGTAATTTTGACACATCTGATATGTTCTATTTGATTTATGGGAATGAGATAGAATCAAATTGAATGGAATATAATGATCATTCTTTAAACTCTACTATTGAATGATCATTCAATTTGATAACTGTTGATTACAATTGTAATGTATTTTTTATTATTTTTTTAATCAATTAAGCATGAGAATAAACATTTTAATAGAATGATCATTTCATTCCAATGAATTAAACACTACCTACAAAAATTGTGTAGAAAAAAGTTTGCTTCCTGCATAACTTCCTATTTTAATGGCAGTTGCATCGGGATTTTAATCGCCAATTTGTTTATAAAATAAAAAATAGTCTAAAAACCACGTATCAACAATGAAAGATTGAGTTATAGAGAGAGAGGGACGAGAGCTTCAGTCTTTAGGTGATTCCTGGCCAAGTTTCGATGATGATCCAACAACCTTTTTCACACTTTTAAAATGTAGATTTACACTTCTAGAATGTAGATCTAGACTTTTTATGTTAGGAATAGGGAGTTTTGTGATATTCCCTTTGTTTCCTACATAGATTTTTAGTTTTCGACAATATGATTAGGGAATATGACCGGCTTGTTGAAGCCGTAGCACATGTGGAGATCATGATAGAGGCGACGGAGGAGATGAGGCAAAAACTAAAGAGGTCAGGTTATACGGAGTCCATTTTTTTAGGGAAATTTGGCCATAAACCCATCTTATCTTCATTTTCTTGTTAAAAAAAAATAAATTATCCTTTTAAAACCCCCTCATAATTACAAAGTCTTGTATAAAGGACAAAATTTATTATTTAAATATTTTATCTGACTATTATACCCTCAACTAGATCTTCAATTCGATCACGATGATCTCACCACTGTGGTGCTCAGATCTCATATCTCCGCTCTTTCTCTCTCTCTCTCTCTCTCTCTCTCTCTCTCATCTCTTGTTCATCTCAGTCGGTCTCTCTTTCCAACTCCATCGTCTCCCCTCCTCCGCTGTCGTCTCTTTCCTCAGATTGCGTCAGATTTGAGATCTCCACCTCACGTTAGACTTGAGATCTCAATCTTACTCTTCTGTTCAAACTCAAAAGTCTTACTTTCTCTCTCCTTATATACATATATATTAATATGTTCAAACCTTTGCGTATGATTTTAGGAGTGGAGATGGTGAAGTGAAGGAACATGAGAGCTCTATTATGCCTAGCAATGGGGTTCAATGCATGATGAATGATTATATGAGCTATGCAAGCTTTGATCTGTTTGAGATGGAGAGCATTGGTGTGATTGGGTTTGGAACGTATAGAGAGTGAACAAAAATGCATATCAATTGGCTTCTTTTTTTTTCTTTTTTTGTTTATTTGTTTATAGATCTAAAAGTAAAATTTGACTTTGGTCTATTCATTTAGTATGCATTTTATTTTTTGTAACAGTAAAATTTTACTCTGGTTAAAAACATGTTGATTTGCTTAACGATATAAAATTTTACTTTGAATCATAATAAATTTTACTCTAATTCAGAGTAAATTTTACTCTAAAATACATTGTGAAGATGGCTTTACTGGAGAGTTATATATATATATATGTGAGGGTAGTATAGTGTAAAATAAACAAGGTTTAAAATATTAGGGCTTTACTGGAGAGTTATATATATATATATATGTGAGGGTAGTATAGTAAAATAAACAAGGTTTAAAATATTAGGGAATTTTGAAAGGATCTAGATAATTTTTTGTCCTTTTAAAAGACAAATTAGACAGTGAGGGGTCTATCACCAAATTCCCTTTTTTATTTTTTTGTTCTTGTACTCTGTTTTTCTTTTAATTTATTGCCTCTCAACAAAAAAACAAAAAGAAAAATTAAATAAATAAATAAATAAATCAAAGGTATGGCTTCATTCCCTCACAAATTTAAGATTTTTTTTGTTTTTTTGTGGTAATATAGCAGTGATATTAGTGATATAGCATCACTATCTAATAATTGTTTGTTATTTGTTCTCCTATGTAAATGTGGCAACATAGTTACAGGGTTCTCACAAATATACGTAAGTTGTGATTTCTCAATTATTTATGGATTAACTTAAGTATATTTGTGAAAACTTATATGATTTTGTGAGGTAATTTATGTATATTTTTTAGAATATGCAAGTGCATATGGTATGCACTTAGACACTTAAAAATTGCTCGTAAAACGAATCGAGGATCATAAGATTTTATTTTCAATGTAAAGTAAATAAAAAATTAACAATAATGATAATGTATGTTAAATAATTTGAAAAATATTAAAGAAAAAAGATAAATTTGATATAATATATTTTATGTTAATATAAATTAGAGAAAATGTTTGGAGAAAGAGTTTATAGTCAAAAATTTAAATAAATATATACATATATAATAAAAAAATAATAGGAACATGATCGTAGTATGATTTATGACTAAGATTATAATTACTTTAAGATACTGCAAAATTTAAGATTCTAATGTGCAATCCAAGATTGTTTGGCCTAACTTAAATCATTGAATCATGAGATTTTAAGATCCAAATCATGATTTTAACAACAATAGTTTATGAAAGGCAAATGAATCAGAATGTTATGGCTCATATCTTTGTGGAGTAAAAATAAAAATTCAATGCAACGGTGATATTACGTTATTCACAACACTAGTATCATTAGCTAATAATAAACCTATGGTAGGGATGCGATTTTGTGAGCTAACTTATATATATTCATGAAAATTTATGCAAATACATACGGTATGCACCTTGCACACCCAAACACCACTACAACAAAACTAACTATTTACGGCATCATATTTACTCGCATTAAATGCATGTCGTACTTAGTACATTCTACGACATTTTTTTTTTTGTAAGCCGTTAATGTTTTGTCAATAACAGCATACATACCATGTAAGTTGTTAATTCATATATTTATGGCATGCAAAAGTATGCCGTAAAAAATATATGTTTTCACAACTTACAAAAAAAAAAACTGATTCTCTAGAGAGCATATGCATGTGTCAATCTAAAACTTACGCCATACTCTCTCTCATTTTAGATCCATACTTGTTTTTGTCCCAAACCCTCTCATTCTCTAGAGAAATTATATTTTAATTATAAATAATAAAAACAAAATTCTAGGTGTTCTTAGATATTTATAAATTCAAGATGTTTTTTTTACCAAATTATATTTTAATAATAAATAATAATAAAAAAATTCTACATGTTCTTAGATATTTATAAATTTCTAGTAAATATGACAGTTTTTTTATTTTTTCCCCCAATAAACTAGATGTTCTATTTATAATCTACATTTTTTTAATACAAAAATAATTTATAAACTCATACTTGAAATCTTTTTATCTACAATTTTTTCCTTCAATTTTTATTTATTTTTATTTTTTAGGCAAAGGATTGAACAAAGCACTTGGAAAGTTTCTATGGTAGCACACATGCATCATTCTCATACCCCCCTCCCCTCTCTCTCTCCCCATCGGCGTCTCACACAAACACACGAGTGCCACCACCAACCACTGTTCCTCCGACTCAGAAACATGAACGCATCTTTGGCATTTGGAGTTTGATTCGCCTCCATAAATCCGCCGCTGCCGCCGTTGGCCTTGGCATCTTCGACGACAAATTTCTTCTATGGCGAGGTCGTTCGATTTCGATTTCTTTGTGAGTTCGATTCATCGTCTCTCTCTTTACACTTTGTTTCTTTACATATATAAATCAATCGTGTACAATTTTTTATTTGTCTGATTATTTTCTTAACTGATTATTTTCTCCATAAATCGTTTTGTAATTTATGATTATTTTCTTAACTGATCTGTAGTTTAAATTACACAAATCCAGATCTCTCCTTTCTCATTCACCAGGTAACTAATTCGTACTTTTAGAGAGAGAAATGAAATAGCAATTTCATATTTGATCGAACATTGGTTTGGGGGAAATCGAAACACTTAGATTTGTCTAAAATTGTTGTGTTTTGTTGCTTTGTTTCTATATTGATTCACTGAACTACATCATTCTTTCCTGTGGTTGAAGAAAACTCAACCTCAATTTTTTAAATATTAACTATAAGAATCTACAACCTTTTGCAATTGCATTCATGTGGCTTAAAATCAAAATCTTCTAGTTGATGTGATCTTTTCTTCCTCACTGGACATAATAATGAAAATAATGATAAAACTGATGCAGGGAAGGGTAATACCCTATAATTTTTTTTTATCACGAATAGTTATTCAAAGTCTTTCTAGTTCCTCCCTCCCATAAAACACTAAAATGTGTCCAAAATATTTTTATTAAGAAACAGATTCATACATACATCCAGTGTGACCTCATCTATTAGCAAATATATGAATATGTAATATTTAAATGATTGTTACTCTTACCCCGTAGTTGTATAATTACACTTTGAAATTTGATTTTAGTTTTCAAAATTACAAATGAGGAACAATTTTGATTTTTGACAATTTTGATTTTTGAATACCTTTCATTGGAAGTTGACTCATTTATCGGTGGGATTTTTTAATTTCATTTATAATGATGATCATAATGTTTTTGATTGATATATTTTATGAGAAACAATATTGCAAGTTTTTCACAAGTTAACAGAATAAACAATGTGGCTCTCAAATTATAAGACTAGTTATGTTTGTGAGAGCATATGCATGTGTCAATCTAATAGGCTAATTCAATCATGTGATACTTTATTTTGTTTTTGCTATTTTTCTAATCAGTTAGTTCTTAAGTGTTTACACTTGCCTTTCGTTTTAATTTCTCTCTTTATAAATATGTTTTTTTGTTTTTTTTTTTGTTTTTAAAGGTTTGGGCAATCGCAGACTCCAAACGACAAGGATTTCTAGGCTTTAAGGAGTTCATTACTACGATTCAGGTTGTACTTTGTGAGCTATTTCTTGTGTTTTTGTTAACAAATTGGTAGAGATATGACATTTGTTTTATTGTTACAATGACAGTTGGTGTCTCTAGCATAGATAGGACATGAATTAAACAAAGATCTCCTTAAAGTGACGGGTAATTAGATTTAGTATGCAAGTGGTATTTAGTATTTGAGCAGCATATGCTACTACAAACTTCTCTTTTTACTTTTGATGTATAAGCTTAGGTTTTTTATTCATCTGATTAGTGTTTGATTTTTGGATATACTCTTGTAGATGAGGCTTGTCTCTTGTTGAGTTCAGGGTTCATGCTTTAACACTTCCAGTACATTCTTACTTTGATATTTGACTTAAGTTGATGTGATTTTCTTGTTTTACTTTTACAGATGACAGAGAGGTTATAAAACCACCATTGATGGAAGGTTTGGATGACTTGTTAGCAGTAAGTAGTCCTATTATTTATTCTTTTTATAGTTACTTCAAAAGGAGACTTTTAGTTCCATTGACCTTTTATTGGTGCTCCTCTTCCTCCAGAAGCATAAGGGTTCTAAAAGCAATGACAATTATGAGGCAAATGGTTAGTACAAATTCTCATATTTTGACATAAAAATGACATTGTTTCAAATCATTTAAAATATTTTTTTGATGTCAATGTAGGAAGTACTATGCTACAACCATCTTTGTCAGTAAATTTGTTTATATCAAAATCTACCAAGAAGGTAATAATTTTTTTATTATTACAATAATCAAAAACAAATATCTCACCAACCCACTTCCCTACCTAAAAAATACTATTACATATCAAATAGACACATGGATTAGAAAAAAAATTAAAAAAAAAAATCCTGATAGTAACACTCGACCATAATCACGACTTGCATTTGCCAAACAATATTTTCTTATTTTAAAACACAAAATAATAGAATTAACATTAATTAATACACTTAAAATCTACAAATTTAAAAACAAAAAAAATCTACAAATTCACACATTGTTGTTTTGACATTTTTGAGTGCTTTGCTTTGGTGGTCAAAATATTCAAAGTACTTATGAGATTGAAGACGTTACTTGGTAATTTTAAAATATTATCATATGATATTTTAAATTAAGGATCTTGTAAACACGTGTGTTTAGGGCATATATTAAGAATGTTTACAAAAGTAAATATTTGATATTACACATAATTTGTACATAATATATATTTAAAAAAAATTTATAAAAAAATTCTTTAATTTGATGTGATTAATTTATGAGAAAATTACATTGGTGGTCCTTACATTTTGCCTATCATTTTAGTCCATCCATTTTCAATTGGCTCAATTTTGACCTTTAATTTTAAAATTTGTGTCATTTTGGTCCGATTGATAATGCTGTTATTGTTTTTTATGGAAAATAATCATTGAATTAGTTGAGTTTAATTTACTAAATTTAGTAAATTTATAATTTTACTCAAAAAATATGATAGATGCACTTATATGCATATTTTTCAAAAAAAAATATTAAGAGTTATAATCAATTGGACTAAATTAAAATAAAATTATAAATTCAGGATCAAAATCAAACAAATTAAAATTATGGAGATCAAAACAACACAAAAATCAAATTACAAGGATTATTGTCGCAATTTGCTCTTAATTTATACATTGAATTCAATTCATGACTTTTTGAAGTTAATATTTTAAAATTTTAAGAAAAAAATATGTAAAAAATAACAATTAGTAATTAAATTAATAATTAATGTGTTTTACAAATACTAATTAGTTATTAATTAATTTGTTTTACCAGTTCGAGGACAGGAAGGGCCAGGCTACCTGCGAGTCGTAATCGACCACCGATCCCAAATGGTACCCCAAGGGAGGAGAAGGGGAACATCCAATGGTTCAGCTTCAATCTGACTAGCCAAAAACACACATGAGCCATCGATTGTTTGTATAAATCATCACAAAGTTTTAAATTTTGCTTCCCTTTTGGCCCCTTTACTCTGATGCGTTGAGTCTGTTTTGGTTTGAGGCCGTAGGTAATCTTAGGATTACTGGCCGGTTGCGTCCTTAACCCATGGGGGCGGGTTCGGGTCGTGACAGGTAAGTAAGTAAGAGAGAGTGGGGTTGTAAGAGGAGAGGAGAGATGTGTCTATATATATACGAACATGAGGGGTAAGTAAGAGAGAGAGAGAGAGAGAGAGAGAGAGAGAGAGAGAGAGCATACAAGCAAGCAGCACAAGGCAAAGCTAATTCTCTCTTAGTAAGGTGAGGATGGCTTTTCTCTTTTGTCTACTGATTTGTTTTTATGCTTTGGTTTTAGTTGAAATTTTGTGATCTATCTTGTACTAACTAATCTTTCTTTCAAAATCACTACTTTTAATTGCTATCTTATTAACAGTGTTAAGGGTTTTGGATTGCAATACATTTTGCTCCTATTCTTGCTATTTGTGTCTTGATTGATCTCAAGACTCTAAACCTAAAGTTGTAAACTGGTTTTGGAATAAATAAATAAATAAATAAAAACCAAAAGTTACGCTTCTTTTAGGATTTAAATTTGGTTAATCCATCTTGCTTTCTCAATTCAATTCATTATCTGTCTCTAAACGTTCTTATTTCGCTGAAGTTACTTGATCTTTGTTAACAAGTTTTAATCTTGCTAGATCTCATGGGATTTTTCTCTCATGGTTGTTTGTTTGGATGTTTTTCTGTAACGCCCTCAAAATACACAATAAATATGATCCAAAGCATACATAATTAGTAACATAAATAAGAGTAAATAAGAAAGTTTAATATAAATAAATGTCCTATTGGCTTACACTTTTCCAAACCTTGACTTAGTTACAACAAAAGTGAGCTTCGCTCATTACATCTTAAGCCCTTGGCTTTACAAAAATATATAATCAAAATAAAAAGCTCTTGCTCCAGAAAATCTTTCCAATGCTATTGCCTTGGTGGAGGCATTCCATCATTACTTGAAAATGTTTTTCCCAAATAGGGTGAACCACAACCCAGTAAGAATCATCTAACACAATATATGAAGTTTAGCAGAGATATAAGTACAAAGTGCATAAACAATGCTTGTAGTAAAACTTTTCACAACTTTATATACTCATAATATATCAATTCGATGTCTTAATCCATTTACTTTCAATTCATATTCCGTTCACTTATCTGTCTCAATTCATGAGTCAATTTCGTTATTTCTCAACAACCGAACTGAGGCTACAACTCAATAATTTTCAAATCATACAACACATATGCATAAAACACTTCAAAACTTCCATTTCACGGATATTTCGTTCGCGGGCAACCGTCAAACGAGACCCATGTAAAGGTAGGCTATGTAAGCATTACAATTGCCATTTTGCGGATATTTCGTCCGCGGCTAGGCACCCATGTATAATTTCGGGACTCTCACCTAGGACATTCCGACCAACTTAATTATAATGGAGTCCATCCCCTTTCTCCTCCCAAACAAACATACATATATAATGTATTTAAACATATAGTCACACGTGAAGTACATCTCCTTTCTCCTCCCAAACAAACATACATATACAATGTATTTAAACATGGCCATATTCAATGACAACCATCAAAAGATTAGTTTCAATTCACCTAATCCACATGCAATTTCTACAACAATCAAAGCTATCATCCACCGATAGTCCAATACAGTTATATCTAAACAGATATTCGATCTCAAATAGATAGTTTATTCCAAACTTCCAAAGGTGTGAAGTAATACATATTTAATTTGACAATTCATATCAAAGATCATCCAATTTTACATTTTCAATGCCAATTTCAATCATTTATACAAATTAACAATTTGATTCAATTAGGGAAAAAACCCCCTTTTTCCAAGTACCCAATCCAAATACCAAAATTCACCATTTTGACACAACACGAACATATTTTCAGTTCCAAAACTCATTTATTTCATATTTACCAAAAACCCCTATTTTACATTTCACCCCCAAACCCTAGGTTTGGTCAAACTATTCTCAAATCTCACCATTGTTACACAATAACAAATAATTAATCTAAAAATCATATGAGAGTGTAGAAAAATCCCTGCCTCAAAGGAAAAAGATGAGCTAAACAAGAGAGAAACTCCAAGAACACCGAAACCCACTTCTATTCGGATCAAAATGTAGATGTTGAGGTGCTCTAGCTTTTTCTCAAAGACACTAGGGTGGAAATCCCAACGGATCTAGATGAAATCTTAGAGAGAATGTGAGTTTTAGAGAGAGAATGTGTGGATCTAGGTTTTTTGGGAAGTTTGAGAGAGAGAGAGAGAATAAAAAGTGATTCAAGATGTCATCTTCACGAACTGTTATACACGTAGTCCGCTCGAATGTGAAAAATGATGCTCGAGTGTCAGACATAAAGGCCCGCTCGAGCGTGGAAAGTTACGCTCGAGCATGAAATACACATTTCTAGAAGTTTTGCAGACGAAGGACCCCGCTCAAGCTTGGGACTAGACGCTCGAGCGTCCGATGCACTCTCCCAGTATTTGTAGACCTGCAAAAGAAAATACTGAGAGTTAACAGATCTCGCTCAAGCGCAAGAGTGGCCGTTCAAGCGAAGGAGTAAAAGTTGTGAAGCCCGCTCAAGCACAAGAATATCCGCTCGAACAGAAGAGCCAAAAATCTGGGCATCACAGGCTTGGAAAAGCAACCAACCAACCTGTTCCAAATGCACAAATACAACCCGATAAGCAAGATAGAGGGGAGACAACTGAAACAAGATATGGATAACCATTCTAAACCATACCAACCCAAGTCCGGAATACAATAAGTGATGGGTCAAAACCGGAATCCCTATAACCTTTCCCCCTTAAGGAATTTCGTCCCCGAAATTACAAATCAAGTTCAAAATCACAACTAAACCATTCACAACCAGGTTTATTCTTACAAGTTCATCACCATGACTCATTCTCCAGTCATCCATTCCCATTGACTCGATACACAAGCCCCACATTGGAAGTACATTTTACAAATTCCAAACATTTGCAATGTTTAAAACAAGATGCAAGTTTTCACATTTATTTATTTATTTATTTTAAACATAGCATATACAATGCTTCCAAAAGTGGTCTTAATCCATTTACTTTCAATTCATATTCCGTTCACTTATCTGTTTCAATTCATGAGTCAATTTCGTTATTTCTCAACAACCGAACTGAGGCTACAACTCAATAATTTTCAAATCATACAACACATATGCATAAAACACTTCAAAACTTCCATTTTACGGATATTTCGTTCGCAGGCAACCGTCAAACGAGACCCATGTAAAGGTAGGCTATGTAAGCATTACAATTGCCATTTTGCAGATATTTCGTCCGCGGCTAGGCACCCATGTGTATAATTTCGAGACTCTCACCCAGGACACTCCGACCAACTTAATTATAATGGAGTCCATCCCCTTTCTCCTCCCAAACAAACATACATATATAATGTATTTAAACATATAGTCACACGTGGAGTACATCCCCTTTCTCCTCCCAAACAAACATACATATACAATGTATTTAAACATGGCCATATTCGATGACAACCATCAAAAGATTAGTTTCAATTCACCTAATCCACATGCAATTTCTACAACAATCAAAGCTATCCTCCACCGATAGTCCAATACAGTTATATCTAAACAGATATTCGATCTCAAATAGATAGTTTATTCCAAACTTCCAAAGGTGTGAAGTAATAATACATGTTCAATTTCACAATTTATATCAAAGATCATCCAATTTTACATTTTCAATGCCAATTTCAATCATTTATACAAATTAACAATTTGATTCAATTAGGGAAAAAAACCCCCTTTTTCCAAGTACCCAATCCAAGTACCAAAATTCACCATTTTGACACAACACGAACATATTTTCAGTCCCAAAACTCATTTATTTCATATTTACCAAAAACCCCTATTTTACATTTCACCCCCAAACCCTAGGTTTGGTCAAACTATTCTCAAATCTTACCATTGTTAACACAATAACAAATAATTAATCTAAAAATCATATGAGAGTGTAGAAAAATAACTACCTCAAAGGAAAAAGATGAGCTAAACAAGAGAGAAACTCCAAGAACACCGAAACCCACTTCTATTCGGATCAAAATGTAGATGTTGAGGTGCTCTAGCTTTTTTCTCAAAGACGCTAGGGTGGAAATCCCAACGGATCTAGATGAAATCTTAGAGAGAATGCGAGTTTTAGAGAGAGAATGTGTGGATCTAGGTTTTTTGGGAAGTTTGAGAGAGAGAGAGAGAAAAAAGTGATTCAAGATGTCATCTGTAACGCCCTCAAAATAATAACAAACTAGGCTCCCAAACACAACCAACCTGTAACAAACCTGACCAACACATCCCATAACTCAATATACAAAGTACAAAGGATGCAAACACGATAATAAACAACAACCAACATCCACGGACACATGTCCGGATCACTGTACAACAAGGGTAAACCCGAGAGAGAGTGAATAAAAAGTGATTCAAGATGTCATCTTCACGAACTGTTATACACGTAGTCTGCTCGAATGTGAAAAATGATGCTCGAGCGTCAGACATAAAGGCCCGCTCGAGTGTGGAAAGTTACGCTCGAGCATGAAATACACATTTCTAGAATTTTTGCAGACGAAGGACCCCGCTCAAGCTTAGGACTAGACGCTCGAGCGTCCGATGCACTCTCCCAGTATTTGTAGACTTGCAAAAGAAAATACTGAGAGTTAACAGATCTCGCTCGAGTGCAAGAGTGGCCGTTCAAGCGGAGGAGTAAAAGTTGTGAAGCCCGCTCAAGCGCAAGAATACCCGCTCGAGCAGAAGAGCCAAAATCTGGGCATCATAGGCTTGGAAAAGCAACCAACCAACCTGTTCCAAATGCACAAATACAACCCGATAAGCAAGA